CCTTCCTCCATGTTTAGACATCCCTCCCACTCGCTTACCTTCCTCCATGTTTAGACATCCCTCCCACTCGCTTACCTTCCCCATGTTTAGACATCCCTCCCACTCGCTTACCTTCCTCCATGTTTAGACATCCCTCCCACTCGCTTACCTTCCTCCATGTTTAGACATCCCTCCCACTCGCTTACCTTCCTCCATGTTTAGACATCCCTCCCACTCGCTTACCTTCCTGCTATCGTTTTAGACATCCTTATCCCATCGCCCTACCTTCTCTCCATGTTTGGAGCATCCCTCTCCTTCCTCCATGGCTTAGAATCTCCTCCCACTCGGCTTACGCTTCTGCTTCGATCTGGCTTCACTCGCGTCATCGTGAGCATGTCGCTTGCCGATTGCGGGCACGATGTTGACCCTCTGTGGTGAAGGCGCGTTCATGACTCAGGGTCCACGGCCTGAGACTTGCCGCCATCGAAGAACGAAGAGCAACGTCAGCGGAATGCAATGCGCGTCGGCAACGACGTCAAAAGAGCCGGGGAGAAGTCTTAAAGCACTTGCTTCCAAAATGATGTGATACCGCCCCGGGTGGCGTGTCGGTTAGTAAGGATGTGGGGATGATTTAGAGACGAGGGAGGGATGGCCAAAAATGCTTCTTCGGCCTCGGGGTCCATCTAATTAGGTATGGTTGGGCGGCCGCACAGACAGCTGCGATGGACAACTGCAATGCTAGAACTTAATAAGATAACTTAAATTGTAATTTTTTCGATAAAGCAATGCAAAAGCCGAAGCGGTCGAAATGCTAATAGGCCGTGCTGACCTTTATGGTAACCATGCTGTTGCATGCCTATCAATGGCTCGATTTAAGGGAGCGCATTTTAGGAGCACACGCTGACCATGATATGTTGACGTACTAGACCAGCGTCAGACCCACAGTTCTGAGTGCTAGCTAAGGCCCAGTAGATAAAATATGCGTTTTGTTTGCCCTCGACCCGACTACCCGCCAAAAAGGCCGGCCGACTCAACATTGTTATGAAAATTGTGTGCCTGGTAACACTTATATAATCTATAGGCAAATACATTATACCGTGTACCAAGCAAACAGAACATTCACAGTAAAAGGCTATCTGCACCAAGCACACCGAGCTGTAGACATGCATTGCTGAATTCTGGTAAAAGACCGCCCTCAGAAAAAACAATTAGCCTACCTACCTACCCAACTTTTCAGGCCTGGGTCCGGTCGTGCAGGGCAAACAAAGATTTTATTAATTGTGGCACTCTGCCTACATAACCAACAGATCAACCACCAACGCATGCCGATGGCTAGCAAACGGCGACTACACATGAAGTCTCTCAGCGGCGCTGCCGAGACGTGGCTGGCTAACGTGGCTGCGCGACGCACGCACGCACCCGTGTCCGCTGGGACTGATGAAGTAGAAGCAGCAGTGCACGCGGTTGTCGAGGATGTGGCGTCGGTTGAGTCCGCTCTCGTCCTGCAGGTAGCGCTCGTACTGCTGGTCGATGTACTCGATGATCGGCTCAATGCTGCGAGACACAACGACAATACGTTACCGAGGGCGACAGACGACGACAACGCTACGTCAGCGCGGGCAGCAGCAGACGACGACTCATGGGGCTGGGTGTGTCGTGCCAAGCGTCGGTGACAGAGCTCATGGATGGCTCGTGGGTGGGGTTAGGGTTTGAGTTAGGGTTGGGGTTGGGGTTTGGGTTTGGGTTTGGTTGGGGTTGCAGTTATGGTTGGGTTGTGTTAGGGTTGGGATTGGGGTTTGGGTTTGGTTAGGGTTTGGGTTAGGATTGGGGTTGGGGTTATGATAAATGTGTGGATTACAGATAAGGGAATTCATAAATGGGTGGGCCACAGATAGGGGGTTTATAGATAGGTGGTTCGCAGCAGAAATGGCTCACTTATAGAGGGGGTTCATAAATGACTATATCACAAATGGGTGCATTTGTAGCTGACTGCATACATAGATGCAAAGATAAGAAAAAGAACAGTGAAGAATATAGAAGATGGGGAGAGGAGAGTGAACAAAACACTCGAACTATTATCTAGCACGCGTAGAGCACATGCCATTAGTATTACTCAAATCTGCCTAACACCAGGCTGGATAAACCAACTACCATCAAAACATATGTCAGGATATTATTATTTTATCAATCATAGGATTTCACCCCACCAGATGGCAGCACACACGCAAACCTTGCCGTCCCATGACAGTTACTGACTCAGGGGGCTGATTCAGCAAGGGATCGAGGTTTTTGTGTGCTGCCTGGCTGTCACATCTGCTGATAGATCCCACAGACAGTGCTACTGTACTAACCCAAACATCATAGCTAGGCAGCACCAGTGGCAACAGCCGACTACCAAACCCTACCGAGTCGAATAGACAGATCCTGCCCAGCTTTAATTAGGAAGCATCCCGATACCTATTACGACAAGCGGCTAATGCGGGGAAGCATCCTAGTAAATCGCGTGATTACCAGTTCTGGCTGGTGATGGAGTCCGCGAAGCCGGGTGTGTCGACGACGGTGAGTCGTAGCTTGACCCCTCGCTCCTCTATCTCCACGGTGGAAGCCTCAATCTTGACCGTCTGCTCAATCTTCTCTGCAGGAGACGAGAAACGGAGAGAGAGAACTCAGTCAGTCTAGTAAGATGCAGTTCATGCTAGAACTACTCACATTAACATGGTCCTCAGTTTGATGAAGTCACAATGTTCCGGGTTTTCCACCTCCACGACGCCCCACGGATAGAGGCGCCCTCTAACCTTTTTACCTCTCACTTCCAACAGCTGCGTGGAGCCGACTACGGCAAACGGTACGGCCTCCTAGACGACGAAACACTCAAATTAGCACCAGATGCAGCCGAGTGATAACCGAGTACCACGTGCTGCCATCTTGTGACGAAATTCGTCAACTTGTTTCGCTTAGAGAGAAGTGCATGGAGCACACGCACAACTACGGATTACATCTTCATTCAAAACAACTATTCACATTACACTAATAATTATCAAATCTGATATCACAATGCCACTCTCACTAAAATCCAGTCTCACAATGCCTAAGCAATACTAAACGAGAAACTGCAGCGCATTAACACTGCTGCAGGATTGCATATTGATTAGAGAGTGATGTGAAATGAATTTCGTACTTTGAGCTGTTTGTTTTGTTCCTTGAAGTCTTCATCCTCATCTGCATCACAGTCTGGCATGCGGTAGATCTGGATCCCTGCCTCGTCAACTTGGTCCAAAATCTGAAATTGAAGCAGGGCTCAATGTTGGTATTGTCATAACAGACGCCATCACACCACACTCTCGGCTTTCTTATACTGCATTTCGATATCATACCAATCTGGGTGACATGCTCATGCACATTCCCCGGCGATACACCCCCCTTGCTCTATGCTTGAATATCAGCTTCACACCCCTCACTGATATAGTCCCCCTTCCTCTCTGCTGAAAAATCCCCTGGAGCATCCATTGGTGATACACCAACCTTGAATTTTAACTTGCCTTCACCCTTTTGAAAAGGTTTCAAGCCTTAGATAGGAACAAGCTACATGTGTTCGCGCCCTCGCCGCCTCTGCTTAGCCTGTGATGAATAATAAACAATTCAACTCGGCAGTCGTGCACTATGTACAGGATTCCTCATTGAACCTCGCAGCCCGTCGCAACACGTGTTACTCGATGCACGAGTTCGAGTAGTATTTTGATCGGGGCGGGTGAACGCACGACCCCTTCGCGACGACGACAGTCACACAGACACGCGGTTACGTACGACGTTCTGAGGGCGTTGAACCTTCAAACCTCTGCTGCTCAGTGTGGCCAGATGAGAAGACACTTACTCATGAAGCCAATGCTGGCTTTTCAAACTTATCGTAGGTGAGAATAGAGTCGCACACACGCACGCAAGCATCACGCGAAATTTTTATAAATTAATATGAGACTCTGTTGTATTGGTGGGGAAACGAGCAAGTCCAGGCCTGGCCCACTCGCAGCAGCGGTTCCATTATGCAGGCCCCGCTCTCGAATTTGCAACTTTTTCTCGCGAAGGAAATGCTTATTTTAGGCCTTGCCCTAATCCTTGAGAAAACACGGTAGCTAGTTTTGCATTAAGTGATGCAGCATGAAGCAGACTTTCAGAACTCAGCAGTGGGAGGGGGGGGTGAAGAACTCGCCCATGCAAAGCTTCAACCCCAAAGGATATGCAGCACTCTTACGTCGTAGGACATCGTAGTAACGTGTGCCAACCCCTGCACCCCCCCTTTCGTTACACCTCCTTCTTTCATCCCCCCTCTCCCTTTATTACCCCACCCCCACCCCACTATCACAGACAATCGTGATCTAAAAATCTTCCCTAGACACATACCAACGCCACTGCAGTTTGTACGGCTTCCCCGCTGGCCACTAGTTAAACTGAATGCTGCTAAGACGCAGACCTAGGTCGTCAATAATCGGCATCAAGACCAGCCGCAGCCGCAGGGCTGTTTCCAGTTTAGCTAATAGCGTCTGGCATCGTGAGTGGGGTGTCCACGGACGCCAGGCCTCGCGACCACTCCATCGCTCACAGCTGCGCAGACGAAAACCCCTCGTTAGGAGGGCGAGCCACCACCCGAGCGATTTCCTATTCGTAGTGGCAGACAGCCGAACCTACTGACGAATGCTTTACAGACATTAGCTGGGTAGGACGACAGTAGGTAGGTAGGTGTGCAGGCAGGCAGACGAGGAAGGGGGGGGGGGCAAGCAGGTAAGTAGGTAGGTAGGTACGTGGTTATAGGTAGGTAGGTAGGTAGGTAGGTAGGTAGGTAGATAGGTAGATAGGTAGGTAGGTAGGTAGGTAGGTAGGTAG